CCTGCTGAATTCGGACTCCCATGAAATTCAGTAATGTACCATGGGTGCGGCCACAACCTAGAGAGAAAAGAGTTGCCGCCTGTTGCTCGATCTGTCGAAACGTGTGATAAGCCGTGATGCTGACAGGAAGATCGATAGCTCGGCCATCGCTCGTGCAAAAAAGACCACGACTTGGATCAGGCCTGAAAACGGGTGGCTTCAGAAGACCTTCTTGGGCGGCCAGGGTGAACACTGGATTCGCGATGCTCCCTCCTTCGATCCAGGTAGCACCCATCTCTGCTACCACATCTCCCAACCAACACGAATGAATTCGACCTCCTGGTCTGCAAACAATATCCATCATCGATTAGCAATTTGTAAAATTTGTTAATTATTAATTATGCTCCGTTAATAAGTAATGGTTTCAACAGTCGTCGAAGATACTTAATTAATCTAAATTTCGCTTTTATACCACTCATAACAGGTGCTGTCTGTGTATTATATATTAACTCCAACTCGAGATCGTGAATAATAAAAGAAACTTTTAATAAAAATATTGTGATAACTAAAAGTGTAGATTTATATTAAAGATTTATATCGAATAGGGAATATATGTACCTATCTGTCGCCTCTAGTATCGTGAAATTCTGAAGACCACATTGTGTCAGCCGATGAGCAGCTGAAAGACCAGCCATGCCTGCTCCAATGATAACCACCGTTGGCTCCGGCTTGCACGGGTCCAGCATGCAAGGGTCCAACTGACATGATTCGAATCTGGCTAACTTTGCACATGGTGGTATCTCCTTTCTTTTTCCTCCCTTACTCGATGCAAAATTTCTACATGTCCATGGAGAATACTAATTAAACAATCTTATGTTGATATTCTTCGATCTGTTATAAAGATCTGTTACTGCTACGCTTTGTCGATAATAAAATTAGAAAATGCAAACAGGGGACGATATAACGAAAATGAAGATTGATAAAGAAAGAAAATCATGTCGTAAACGAATTATTTTATTCATCTTAATTGTATAAACATACTAATGAACAAAAATCATTAGAACCCTGTCATACTTTCGATAAAGACATCGTTATTCGGAAAATAAGCTATTTTATATGAATGTCAAAGGAGAAATAAAAATTTAAATTCCCTGTCTAATCTGACATAGACAGTAGATGGAGTCGTCAAACGTGAATTCCAACCTCACATAAACACTTCTGTAAAATCAAACACCATTAGCGTGCTTTTGTGATTGGAATAAAGAGACGTACTAATTACGCGTTGCTTTTGTTGAAAAATACACGCATGATATTATTAATAACATTTCACACACGAATTCCTTGATGAAATGTCAGTGACTTGTCTAGGACTATCTGGATCTACCTTATTGAAACTGTTCGAAATCTTCGAAACGGTAATCTGGTCCTCATAAGTAGCATCTCATTGGACATAAAGCGGCGAAACTAGTGAATTTGTTCATGAAGATGATGGACATTGATCTTGATTAGAATTTAGATGTAATTAAGGCGAGTTCCTTATCGGCGAACGTTGCTATGAAGAGAGCATGTCACACGCGCAAACAAACGACCATTACAGATGTTTTGTTGTCGAGACTATTGATCATAGCCACCTATGACGAAGATTTTAGTTTGATCCTTCGATCACGATCATACTTTCGAATCATTCGCTTTCACCGTTAACATAGATCATAAATTGCATCTTATACAGAACCGATTGGCTGATTATAGATCGAGAAAATAATCTATCTGGTCTGATAAGTTGACGCAGGAAGATTTGACTTACTGCCCTGATCTAGTGATTTCACTTCTGAAATCCATATTTTTAGGTTCTTTTAATATTTAGCTTTGATTCTATATTTACGCTAATGATTTATTCTTCTCTTCTCTTATTTGCTCTCGATGTTTTATGTTCTTCGTCACACGATGAAATATAATCCTATTGATTTGTAGGTGTATCATTCTTCGCCAGTAACAAAAATTTGTGTGATCTATCTTTAGAATTATATTAGAACAAATGAATCTATTAGACTATGAATAATTAAATCCACATTCATTTCAGCTACTAAATTAGCAGGCTCGTACAGTATTTAAATTCTACTAGATATTTTTAACTTAATAGCTTATACTCGTTCGTAGGTTTCAAGCTCTCTATCATGGTTGCTATGCCATTTGAGGTTTTTTTGAATGAATCGCACGATTCTTTCTCTACAGGAGGGGTGATAGATCGCAAGATTTCTGTTGCTTGACTCGAGATCTCGTTCCATGTACAGGCGATATCTTCTTCTCGAGATAAACGACTTCCTATCACCACTCGCATGATTAATTTTTTCCGATACATGGCTGCAATCACGTAAATCTTTTTTCTGGCTGTCACGCGATTGATAAGTTCCTTGGTCAATTGATTGTCACCCTGAAAACGGAGATGAAACGGATTAAAAATAAATAAAAATAATTTTTTAAAATATTTCTTCCGATTTTAATGAAAGATTAAAAATTCACAATACAAATGTCATCTCAAGCTGGAAATTTTTTAAATACGAATACAACATTTGTTAATTAAAAATTTATCAAGATTTGTTCTTTCGCGATTTTCTCGGTGACTATTCTGCAACTTCAAAATAACTTGTTTTGTTCAAATTTATATTTTATGCATATTTCTCTGTTTAATTTCCACGTGCATACCTTCATTCTGAAACAAATTAAAGCCATAGCTCTCTCTGTTACTATTTCGAACCTGCTGTCAGATTTGACATAGTTCTCAAACATCTTTGCCAATTTTATCGTGTCCCGTATGTACTGCTGAATTCCTTCTGCTCCATAAATCCGTAATACAAACCAAACTTTCAAGGATCGAAAACGACGACCCAAAGGAATTTGCCAGTGCTGAAAAGTAATTTTTAAAATTTTCTCTCTATTATTATTAAAACATTCAAATAATTGAGATAGTAATTACATGCTTCGAAATATTATACTTGTAAAAATGAATTTTATAGATACCCTAAAATCCGGAACAAGCCCTTGTTTATCGTGTTCCAAGTAAATCCTGTCCACGTTGAAAGCTTCGACCAATTTCCTAGAATCTTTTACCCTGAAATATTTATATTCCTGTCTTTATTGTCATTTTCCTATTACCACTATTATTCTTCGGTTCTATAATTTTGAAATAAGAAATATACAGACCATAACGCAGAACAATCGAAATTCACTAGCAACCATTTATGCATATTGACATTGAAAGAGTCAGCGTATTCAACACCAGACATCAAATGTCGATACTCGGGACAAATGAAGGCAGCACCTGTAAGACAACAATAATTATTCGTTATTCCTTATAATTCCAAATTTTCCAATTTTTTTCCCCCTTTAAAATAGTAATTAATCTGTATAAATAATAATTACCATAGATTACTAAGATAAAAATATTTATAATTAAGGTGATATTTTGTGACATCGAAAAGCTTTTATATCGTTAATGGTGAAGTTTTTAACCTGCATAAGCAGCATCGATGTGCAACCATATGTTGTACTCATTGCAAATGGGCCCCAATTCGTCAAGGTTGTCGAAGGCACACGTGCCAGTGGTACCCAAAGTGGCCACTAAGCAGCATGGTATCAAACCTTTCTTCAGATCCTCTTTGACCGCTTTCAATAACGTTTCACCTCGAAGAGAGCATTTGTCATCGGTAGGTAAAAGTCTCATGGGAATTGATGTCAACATCCCCCCTTTTTCTACCGAAGAATTTGACTGATCTACGAAACGGAGACCAAAAAGAAAAAAGATGAGGAAAAAGTTTAGAAATAATTAATATTAATCATATTCGTCTATTCAATTAATCATTTTCCTCAATTGCTCGACTACACATCCTGTATGTATAATTAATGACATTAACAACATCATATATGAATAATACTGTAATATAAATACTTTACGCTCCACTGGTGGCATTAATATTTATACCGTTCCCTCCTTTAAAACGGAACTTGCAATTTCAAAAAATTCATTTTCATAAACTTACTGGTGAAAAAAGTGAAAAAAATTCTCAAAGTCATATGGTCAATAATGTTAATATTATGCAATAACAATATCATGTATGAACAAGTTGAGATAAAGTGTACTGCTGTAATACAATGTAACTAGTACATATTAATCAAGGAACTGTATAAGCAGATTTCATTATGGCATGGATAAAAATAGAAAGATTGAAGAAAATGATCAAGGTCTTAAAGTGGAGGATAACCGAGCGCGTAATCATTACCAGATGAATATGCAACCAATTTGCACTTGATGAAGTCTTCGTCCCAGTCTGGATGAAATTGTTTTATACGACGTGATGCATGTTCCTTTGCCGTTAACAAACATACTAACGTACTCTCGCTGGCTGAGCCCTGATCAAACAGGAGTAAAATTATCGTAATTAACGAAAAGCCAAATTACCTTTGCACAAGATATAAAATAAATAAGTGTGACTAGTATATATTATATAAATGAATCGAAGTAACTTTGAAATAGAAATAAAGCAATTAACTGGTAAAATGTTATTCAGAAATTAATTTACAGTAGTTTCTGTAGCATATTTAATTTTGATCTTGATGTAGTTAGATAATTCTTTTTTCTTTTCTTGTTAATCAATTAATAAATAAATACAGCGACTCGTTGGTCTAGGGTTCAAATCCCGGACGAGCCCAGCTAAATTTTTATTATACTTAATTTTACTAAAATATATACTAAAACGAAACATAATCGTTAAATATTCTCACCAAAGGAAATACGTTTACTTGACAAGTACTTAAAAATACTAACAAATATTTAAAAAAAAAAGTAACAATAATACATTATACTTTTTCTTGTATTTTCTTCTGTACCCTAAAAATGTAGTGGCAATAAATATTTTTTTCAGTGAATATCTTATCATCACTAAAAACTTAAATACCGCTACACATAAATAATAAATATTAGTAGTGATAAAATAACATTTTGTATCTTTAATATTTACAAATTATCTACATGTTTAAGCATTTTAGACACCTAAACTATTATATTTTAATTAGTTTATGACCCGACTTTCGTCGGGTAAACCAAAAAATTTTATCGTAGACTCATCAATTGTTCCCCTCCACGGAAATCTTTAGTAAAAGGCGAAAGATTTACACGTTATGTGAAGAGAAACCAGAGTGTCCTAATCTTCTCTATGCCGAAAGTTATATTATTCTGGGTCCCCTTCACCAGCGAGAAACGTTTCCCCCTGGTGTTAGTTTTGTGTATCAACCTATAGCATTTCGAAAAACTTCGATTTTTCTTCAACAGTAACGGTAATTCATCTGCTGTTTGAAATTTTTTATGTAACATATTTTTCCTATTTATACCACGTAATAGAAATTCTTACCTTCCATAAGCAATATTATTTAGTAAAAATAGCTTTTTCAAACAAAAGATTGTGATTTTCCCCGTGCTTGCACAAGTACAATATACAATTCTATATAAACTTTATCACCTTTAGATTAAATTACAAAATATAATAAAAACAATATAAAAATTCATTTGTTTAATTAAAACACCGAAGGACCGATGGAATAAATATATCCTAAAAGCAACTACGATACTTCTTTATAATACATTCTTTATAACTGAATACTTCTCTAAATAATAAATTCAAATAATAATAATAATTCTCCCAAATAATAATGAATCATTGTTCACAAACATTCTTCTGTTTATTCATTATTCGGATAATTTATCTTCGTATGAAAATTTATATAAATTTGTTACTGACACTTTGTTCAACAGGCAAGAATATATTTTATACGTATATAGAAAATTCATATTTTTATTGCACTGGAAATAATTAAAATTACGTCACAAAATAACTCGTTATATCACTGAAAAACACGACCTTCAACATTTATCAATATGAACTCCAAAATCACACGTTGCCCTAGCAATCTCAGAATTGAATCATCGTCTTGACGTTCAAGATCACCTGAAGGTCGTAACAAGGTATAAAACATTGTATGAATAATCGTTTACCTGTATGACACCTCCACCATGACCTTCGCTGCAACTTAGAAACTGCTTTGGTAATCCTAATAATTTTCCAAGCCAATTCATCACGATCACTTCAAGTTCCGTGCACGCAGGGGAAGTGGTCCATGAAAATCCCATGCAACTTAAACCACAGCTGATGATCTCACCCACGATCGCGGGGTACGAATTTGCAGATGGATAGAACGCGTGGAAATATGGCGAATTCCAATGGGTTATCTACAGATTAAAATAGAAATTTAGTGAAATAAATATAATCGATAAAAACATGAAATATTCACTTAATACAGTAAGACATAATTTTGTGAATAATAAAATTCGATGTTTTCTTTCCTCACTTTTTTATGTACCATGGAATTTCCATCTAATTTACATATCTACACGTATCAAAAAGAGAGAAAAACAATACAAATAAACAATGCGGAGGTCATACAACGAGGTAACTTACTCCAGGTAGAATATGTTGTTCAACATCTTTAAGCACATCTTGCCAGATTTCCGGCTTCTTTGGCGCTTCTTCCGGCAGTAGTTTACTGAGATATCCTGGCTCAACATCCGGAAGAACGTTCTTGCTTCTCAAGCCATCGTGGTAATTAGCCACGAAATGGATCGCTGCTTTACCAAAATCGATGAAATCCTTCGTGTCCATTATTGGCAATTGTCTTGCAAAACTCGCTATGTCGATTAATTATTTCTGTGAGTTGAAATAAAAGAATTATGTTGAAATTAATAACATAAAGAAAGAAGAAATATCGTGTTGAAAAAAATATACAAAAATCATTGTCTAACATCGAGTAATGTCGAATTACATATAATTATATAAATAAATAAATTTATTTATTTATTTAAATATATATTCCTTCATAGAAGGAAATATTTACATTAACAGACTAGATAGATCACCAGATCGCGAATGTTTCATTCACCACTCTGTCTTATAGAAAATATTACTTTCCCTTTAAACTAAAAAAGGTGGTTTAATTAACGTTGCAATACACTACACTTAAGGCTTTAATTTTCTCATACCAATTCGATACATTTTTCCCACGAATCGCAATTCACTAGAAAAACTTCCCTTGCGACGATGCATTGCATAAATACAATGTGTTATTATTTCTAGTAAAACCGAACATAGGCGAAAAATCAATTATAAAAACGAGAACAAAGCTACTCACCCTTAATTCTTCACAGAGAAAATTAACTGCTATTTGTAAGATTTACAAAACTCATCATTTTTAACAGCCACCTTTTATTTACAACGTTTTACGATGTCACAAACTACAAACGCGACATTTTGAAAAATAATTTTTCATCCGAAACGCCACAATTAATTCGTCGAAACTCGAACGATGCTCGTAAGATCTTCCGTGAAATTGTCACAAAACGGGGTACACAGATTTGAAATTTCTTATCGCAGTCGATGTTACCAATCGAATGACACCCTATGATGAGCGGTATGGAGCCGTGAACGATCCACGAAGAAGTGAGTTCGTTCGAACCGCGTCGGTTAAAGTTAAATGCCGAGACATAGAAAACTTTCTCCTGCTTTCTCCATAATTGTACAAAAAATTTAATCTGCGTGTGGCACGGAAGAAACGGAAAAGGTCCTATTTAGAGAAGCATCTCTTTAGAATTTCGTGATCCAACCGATCGCGGCCGATCTCGTGATCCTCTAACGGTTTCAAAGCTAAGATTTACGAAAGTTTCTAATGTTGGTCATCGAAGCGTTTACGACGATTGTCAACGTCCTCAACGCGGAAAATTATGGCGATTATGGGAACTTACGTCGAATCGTAATGGAAAAAGTTATGCAATTAATATTGGAATTACCAAACGGAAATAACTGCTTTCAAATTTCTTGTGTTTCCGATTATCGAAAATGTACAACTGTTTTTGGCAAGATTAATGTTATCTTTTATTAAGATAGACATGTAATCGTATGTCTTTTTTCTTTTCTTTATTATATCGCGTTATTTAATATTATTTATATAAACTGTATTTAGATACAGATTATGGTTTGGTAATTCTATATGATTCTTGCTATGTGACCAGTTTAGATTTCAATTACGAGAGTTATTTGATTATTTCGGTAATTAAAGAACGAATAATTTTGTGTATAAGCAATTCTTAATGATCAGATGGATTTGTTAACTTACGTATGTGTTGAACTTTCACTGTATGTTGTGTTCGTATTACCAGGCTACTAATTTTTTAAATTCCTGTTAACTTTTGAAAATTATGTAGGTATTGATTATTATCGAATATAATACTGTAATAATTGATATTATTATAAACATTGAGATATATAAATGATGATATTAAATATTTGAAGCCTTAAAATTTATAACGATTAGATTGAAAAGATTATTGAATTTCCGGCTATGTATATTTTTGTAATAATGAAATCGTTGCAATCTTCAGTAGAAATAATTGATAATATAGATGACTGTTCACGATATAATAGGTACGTTGAAAACAACGATTTATGGTGAAAAAAAGAGTTATGAAATGAAGCACGAGTACTTAGAAAACAATTAACCTTCGGTTATGTAGATTTAAAGCTTGATTCCTTTTACTGGAAAAATATAGGAGATTGTCTATAGATTTTTCTTTTTTTTCTTTTTTATTTTTTTTAATATAAATAAAAACGAATTACAAAAATGTAAGATATAGAAAGAAGGTCCTTGAACTAATCTCGAGCACCCGGAAGAGTATAAAATTGAAATGTTCGTGCATAACGACCTTCACTCCTTCGAAGAAAATTACATTAAATGGGAAAAGGTATTAGAGATAAAAGTGAATTTTCTACATAATAACTATACCAATCCCTACTATTGTACCTTCCAATATGATATTAACTTCACGACTAGTGCGTTTCTTTAATAGGCACACGAAGCATTTTGTATAGACTTCTTGTCTAGACGAGACATTATTAATCTCTATCCCTCTGCAATATTAATGTTATCAATGTTATTAATATTACACAACACTAACTTACGTTTTACGATAAAAATACAAATGCACCATATCAGTGACAAGTTTCTCGTTAATTAACAATCAGTAAAGATTCAACAAAACATACATATAACAAGTAACGATCGGCAATTTCAAAAATATAAACTTATTGTCAACAAAGATAAGTTTACTTGCCTAAGGATGATGTTTTTCAAAAAGCTGGACAGGGAATTCCAATTTTTAGAATGATCACCTTCCACCCACGAGGAGAACGTATTCCACTGCGAATGATAGCGGAACCATCCCCTTTATATATCCTTGGCTAAGCAACGCTGCTTTTTTTTACTTAACGAATGTAAAATGTGCATATTTCTTTCTCAATGGATTTTCATTGTTGTCGCGGACAACCTTGGTCAATTACGTGGTACAGACAATTTTTGCATTCATTTCCTGCATATCTGACTTTCTGTACGCGTTAACTTATGTATATAATCTGCAATATTTTTCGGGGAGTGACATTAATTATTTTACGAACAAGATTAAAAGACAATCTATGCAAAAATATTTCTATTTGACAATTGAGAGTATAATACAAACCGAGTAATGGAAATAAAAGGTAATTATGAATGTTGACAAACAGTTATCTTTTAACATATTATATATTGCCCTGTAACCTATAACATTTGCATTTTTTATAAACTATTAAAAGTCACGATGATCGCCTTGAAAATTTTTATGTGAAATCATGATATCATGTTAATCTACGTCACGATATTTAGGGCAAACCATAAAAAAATATCTTCTTATTTTTAAACATGTTCCCTTAATGTTTCTCTCTCTCTCTCTCTCTCCTTCTCTCTCTCTCATTCTCTCTCTCTCTCTCTCTCTCTCTCTCTCTCTCTCTCTCTCTCTCTCTCTCTCTCTCTCTCTCTCTCTCTCTCTCTCTCTCTCTCTCTCTCCCCCTCTACAGCCATGTATAAACAAGTATTTCTCAATAAATATTTGATAAACAAATAATGAAACATTTATTATTAATGGAAATCAATTATCACTGATATTGTCACCTTGATGACCCAAATGAATTTTTCAAATCGCGTACTGTAAATTATATAAACATGATACGTCATACATTTGATTTATGAGTATTTAAAATTGTTATATCGCTTTCTTTATCGCATGAAAAATTGCCAGAAATTAAAATTAAAAATTAAATGATATTTGTTAAATAATTTTACCAAATATCTTTAGAAGACGCAATAAGAAATAAATATACTAACGTAAGAAGTAGTCTAGTTTCGAAAGTAGTTCAAATATTCCCCTCATCTTCGAATAGAACGGAAATAGGCCACTACATGATTTTAACTATCGTGTAACTTGCTTTCACGGCTATTTTTCACGCAGTATTTGCTATATTCGAAACAATACTTCAACAGGTATAGCTTACGCTTTCATGATATCCTTTCTTACAAATCATTGACGCCAGTTTTTATTTATCGAACGTGCAATTCGTTCTTCTGAAATGAAGTGAAAGAAACAAATTGCTTGTCACTCTTTGTAGTATTTGCATTAATATAAAAGACAATTTTCTTCTAGCTAATAAATAGTAATTTAAAATGTCAATTTCTTTATTTCAATATCAAACTATTATTAGAAACTTCTTATTACAATACCTGTATAATAGACGTATAATACAAAAATATTTATAAAATCACTACGTGTTATTATTTATAATATAATTAGATGAAAAACTAATTGATATTTCTCATTGTACATTTCGCATACATGAAACTGTTCATACATTAACCGAAGGAAAAAGGAACGATATGACAGAGAAATTTCAAGTTATTAGGTCTGTAATCAATATGGTAATTACTCGAGGAAAAAGTTAAGAAAAAAGGACAAAATTAACGAAAATTAGGGCTCGTCCGGGATTTGAACCCGGGACCTCTCGCACCCGAAGCAAGAATCATACCCCTAGACCAACGAGCCAACTTGAAAGCTTTTTTCACATTAACCATCACCAAGCTCTAAATTAAATAAGTAATAATTATTAATATATAATTAATATTTATCAGTAAAAATAAAAGACACTCATTATGAAGTTATGCATTAACTGGTTTTAAACAATTGGATTGTTAAAAAACTTCAAATATCCTGGTATAAAAACATAATACACATGTAACTTTGTTTCATAACGTATGAAAAATATGATACATTTTCATATAGCCTAATGAATAATAACACAATCGATTTAATAAGAATATTTTTCTGAAATATATTACGTTTCATTAATTTTGTTGCATTAACTTTATTACAATTGCATTTATTTATTGTTTACAGTCGGTTTTGTAGTGTAAAGGTTGTTTTACACAGCGGCTCGTTGGTCTAGGGGTATGATTCTCGCTTAGGGTGCGAGAGGTCCCGGGTTCAAATCCCGGACGAGCCCACATTTTTTTACTCTTGAAACCGGTGTTTTTAATACCCTGAGTTATCCACAAACGTTCTGTAAGCATTGATTCTCAGGATATCAGAGTTAAGCACAAAGTAGACGAATCATTGACAACTATGATATGCATATTAAAATGTGGAGCGTACATAGAAGTATTAGAATATTTGTGGAATATTAGCATGTTAGCGGCAATGAAGGAATTACATTTTTAACCAAAAATATTTGTTAAGGTGGTGGACTGTACTAATTATTCAAGATTTTCTACTATCAAATGACTGCTCTTG